TACCACAACTTAAGTTTATGTATTGACCATATTACTACCTTGAGCTTTAGAAATTAAAAAAACTACAAAATATGTCGAATGAAACTAAATAATCATGTCAAATATTTGAAGCCCCTATTTAATTGACTGATGGTCAATTTCTAAATCAGATTTTATAAATTTCTTTTTTCAGTTCCTCTTCTCTCACATATGCTAGAAACGAGTCGGGCGGCTACGACACTGACTTCACAATGTTGCTATTCCTCCCATTCTCCAAATCATATCAGCGTTTCTTTCATCTATTAACTCATAGTCACTCGTCGAGATTTAGCCGGTTGACAATTTTTTCAATTAGATCTCTGATACTTTTAAATATAATATCTCTGCTTTCAAAAACTCAATACACTTTCAAATATTCATTCATAAGTATACGGTAACTTGATTAGAAAATAACCATTCTTTAATAATTAATTAAAATTTGGTGCATCTCTCCTTTTCAAAGTATAAAATTATTTAATTTTAATAAATAAAAAACATATTTTTTGGGTTTTTTACTTTTCTCATGTCGTTGCTTTAAATATTTAAACATTAATATTATCGCGCATAAACATTAGTCACACTCACATGTATATCTCAAACCTTCAAACGTCATACTATATATAGATATATTTTTATTAAGAAGCTATAGGGCTTATATAATACAGGAGTAAAACACAAATACTAAAACCCACAACATTAAACCGAAGTCTAAATATAACTTAATCTGTATATGAATATCTTATTAAAGTTATACGTAATACTGATATATTACTAATAAAAAAATTTCTTTCATAATATTATCTATAGATTTGGTGGAGTACTAATTCTGAAAGAATAAAGTTAAGGCTAAATTTTTTTTATAAAGAATGTAAAAGACGAGTTTCACTTGTAAGCATTTTTTTGTTCCAATACCTGGCTGAGAACTAAGGAGGTGTTATTGGTTCTTGTATTTTAATGGATTTGAGAATCCAAACCAAATTCAGTGTTATTGATTCTTGTATTTTAAAATCTATATTGAAATACAGTGTTATTGGTTCTATGATTTTAAAATCCATAATGAAATACAGTGTTATTGATTCTATCATTTTAAAATCTAAATTTTATAAAGATTTAAGTTTTAATTGAATTTGAATGGATTTGGAAGGATTTTCATGACTAAAATACAAAGACTCAAATACAAGGTCTAACCTTAGTATTTGAATGGATTTGAGTAGGGGTTATTGGTTCTTGTATTTTGGTGGATTTATAAATCTTTTTTGGATTTGATAAATTTTATTGATATTAAAATCAGCAAAATGGAAAAAAATCAAATCCACTCAAATACCAATGTTAGAGCTTGTATTTGGGTCTTTGTATTTTAGTCATGAAAATCCTTCCAAATCCATTCAAATTCAATTAAAACCCAAATCTTTATAATATTTAGATTCTAAAATGATAGAACCAATAACACTATATTTCATTATGGATTTCAAAATCATAGAACCAATAACACTGTATTTCAATATAGATTTTAAAATACAAGAATCAATAACACTGAATTTGATTTGGATTCTCAAATTCATTATAATACAAGAACCAATAACACCTCCTAAACTTCAAAGGTCATATATGATATATGTATCAAAACTTTTTTTTTCTTATCAGTAAGCCTAAATATTATAAATGGGCCCAAAATATTAAACTTATATGATACAGAAATATCCATTACTAATAAAAAAATATTAAACCAAATCTTCACTTGCATATTCTCTAACCAGATTCATCTTCTTCTTCGCCAAACACCATCTTTTCTATATTCTGGTCCGGCAACGGAACATGAACCACAAATTCCCTCTCTTTCTAGTCCTCTCTCTCCTTTTCCCTCTTCTCCTCCTCCACCACATCCTCTTCCTCCTCGAACAACACCTCCTTAGCAGCTCCTACGCTCACAACCAAACATAAAACAAATACACAACATGAATCTGGTAAAGAAGAATAATACTTATAGAAGATCGAAGATACTGTTGAGATGGATTACAACAGCATTTTATAATATGAGAGTTTTATACACTCCGATCACGAACCTTACCCAAGACCCCTGACCATGAGAGCCAGGAGAGAAACAAAGGGAGGATCGGAGGAAAATTTCATGGATGTCGAAGGATCTCATGGGCTTTTTAATGTAATGGGTTTTATTTAGCTGTCAATTTTGTATAGTTTTTGTTTACCCATATGAACTAAAAATATTTTTTGATGAGCTGTATTAATAAAATATTTTTATTGGTTGATTTTTTTTGCTGAGATGTCATATTGAGAAAGTCTGAAAAAGCTTAGGTGTCATCACCTGGAGAGATTTATGGGTTATTGTTGTGTTGATTACTGAGCTTTGCTTGTCATTTAGGCAATATTCTTCAATTCCACCATTTTCGGAATGTTTTCCTAAAAACAAAGAAAAAAACAAAATTAACAAAAATAAAGTAGAACAAGGGGATCGAAGGGGTAACTTAGTTACTTTGGAAAGTGTATCAAAATGTTTCACTATGTCTATAAAACAGAAAATTTTACAACTCCTTTAGGAATTATTTTTAAATGTTTCGGAAATATTTCCTAAACATAAAAAAATAAAATAAACCAAAAAGGAATCCGGGAGAAATCGAACTGGTGACCTTATATAATACGTAGTAAAGCTCTAATCGCTATGGCCAGATTATTTAATTGGTTAACTGTATGAAAATATTTATTTATACATAAAGGAATAAATAAATCATTTAAAGTTGAAAAAATTGCTCCTTACTATTTTCCACTATTTCTCTCCCGATCGTTCGGTTTCCAGGTAAACTGCAGATGAAACCTTAAAATTTAATGTATTTCCTTAACTCCCATCAACGGTGAAGAAAGACATCAGTGACAGAGAAGGTGGCATTGTTGGAACGACAACAAAGATTCAGTAAGATAATCCTCTCCGAAACTTCTCTCATCACGACAAATGTAATAATAAATTTGATCTCTTACGATCATGATTTACCATTTTTGAGTGATTCAAGATAGGCTTTAGTTTCTATTGTGGTGTTTGATTATAGTTTTGTGTAGAGGGAACCTTCTATTTCAACTTATGAAGGTTCATTCTAAAATTCAAATTTCAAAAATAATATTATTTATGTAGTGTTTCAAATTGTCAACAGTTCTTGAGATTTGCTTGTTTACGTGATCTTATGATGTTTTAAACAACTTTAAAAATGAATGGCAAAAACAAATTTAGTGCTCTCTTCACGTCTATGTGTTATTCATCAACTCTCAATGTCTTGTTTCCCTTGATATTTGGCTCTTCTTTAAAGTTTTAGGATTGGGATTTAGGAAACGCATTCCAAAAAGTTTTATACATCTATGTGTTGTTCATCAACACTTATTGTCTTGTTTCTGTCGGTATTTGGCACTTCTTTAATGTTTTAGGATCGGGATTTAGGAAAAGCCTTCCAAAAAGTTTTATACATTTGACTCTCCTTTAAAAGTTTTTAAGTGTTATTTATCAACTCTCAAAACGTGTTAGATTTGGTTTTTGCGCAATTTCGGATTTGATTTTTGTGTAATTTTGGATTTTGGTTTCTTGCATTTAGTAACATTTTATTTCTTTGTTTTTAATATGTGAAAATGGACATCACTGATAGGGCTCAGGTTTTATCCAAATAAAACTGCTGCAAGTGCACATCAAAGCACTTATAGTATAAGGGGTTATCGAATCCCAAGGGAGTAAGTAAACTACATTATAGAATTCAAGTTCGGATTAAGCTAAGCAATCAGTAGTGTATGTAATGCGAAGTAACAAAATAAATGAAAGCAGGCGATTTGTTGTTTGATCTAAGTTTCAGAAAGCTAAAGACGCTAAGTCATGACAATTCGCAGGTTGAATCCGAGAATGTAGTATGCATGCATGCATGAATGACTTAAAACCGTCTTAAACTCAAAACTCAATGATATAACTAATCAATTCTCATTGCAGAAGTTATCTATGCCTAATTCACAGAATTCCAAATCTCTTTGCAAATTCTAACATGTTAAGCAAGCATTAAAGATCAGGTTTCGATTGTTATCTCTTTGCAAATAAGCGTTTGGCTCATCTAATACTAGTTCAGGTGATTAACAATGTTCTAAAATCTATTAAACAACCTACGGTTTTCGAATTTCCAGACGACTAATCAAAGAAATCGGTTTTGAATGCAAGCACAAATGAAGAACCAATAGATATTCCAATAGCGATTCCACAAACTCTTCATCAACCTTTGAAAAGCCCTAACTTAACTAACAGATTACTCAGACATGATCATGAAGACACAAAACATAACTGAATAAAACTGCATTCAAAGAGATAGAGTAAACGATAAAGGGGTTCGAAATCTTCTCAAAAAGAGTACCTGATCTGTCTCTCCAAAAGCTCTGAATAAATCTCTCTCTAAAGCTCTCGGAATTCTAAAATCTAAGATAAAAGTCAACAATAGCTGAAAACCTAATATATACAAGCTAAAACACGAGCTGTGACACTTTTGTAATTAGTGAAACTTCTGGGACAAAGTTACAATTTCTTCTCCATCTTTTAAAAAAAGTCGCGACTCCTCTTCAGATGCGGGTGATGAGCGTCACTGAGCGTCACCCTCGAGTGGTGACGATCGTCCCCAAAGCCTGTGTAATGCTTCCGAGTTGCTAACTTCGTGGTTGATTCTTGCAATGCTCCAGAAGGCTCCAAAATCTCCAATTATACTCTAGACATGCTATAACCTGCAAATACTCTACTAGGACTCTAAAAAGACCAAAAAGACTCAATAAAAAGGACTTATACCAGGTTAAAAACCATAAAAACCATGATATATCAATCACACTGCCTGAACTTAAATAAGCACTTAAATTCAGGTCCATAGACAAGTAGTCAGACTATAAATACATCGACCAAGTCAAGAAAGTACTCAGGCCTGAGCAGTTTAAGAGAATTCAGGATTCTTTTTTTGGTCCAGTTTTGGAGTTCTGTTCAAGAAATCTGTATATGTCAAGGAAGATGATCCACACCATTCTGACGAAGAGCCTAATAACCAAGAAAGACAAGGAGCTCTGGTTTCATTTTGGTGGACAGCCTATGAGATTCTCTATAAGAGAATTTCATATGGTTACGAGGCTGAAATGCACTGAGTGGTTGCCTGAGGTTGAAGCAGAGAACCTAATCCTTTTTTGCTAATACCCGCATTAAAATATGCTACTATGATTGGGGTGAATTTGAGAAAGGTCATACACCTGACGACCTTATCGAGCTCGTGATCCAAACTAAACAGGACGCTCATGGTGAGAGATTCTGTCTAGCAATGTTGCTGCTTATCAAGACAATTTTTCTACATAGGCATTCAAATGCTATATTCCATAAATCAAATTTAGAGAAAGCGCAAGACATATAGGTATTGCTCAATCATCATTGGGGCATAAACACGTATGAATTGCTGTTAGAATCTGTGAAGAAGAATGTGGCGACTAATCTAGAAAAGGCAAAGTACACTATGATCTTGGAATCCGTACCAAAGCTACAATCGGCTTTCTCTACGATTGACAAAACAGTCCCACTGGCAGCTTATTGTGTTTGAAATACCTTCACACAACATCTCCTTCCATTAAAGCTGATTTGAGCATAGAAGGCGAAAACGATGTGAGTGCATTCCTTTACTTTTCTGATTATATAGGATGGTGTTAGTTTTCGGAAGATGTGTTAGTGGTTTAAGAAGGCTTTCCTAACAATATTGAAGAATGATATGTCTGTTTAACTGTGCAGCTAAATGTGGTACACATCCTTCCAAAAATACATGGTGGCCTCGAAGACAAAGTGGTTTTGCAAGACAAAGACGATGAAGATCTGCATTCGCTTGTGGATCTGTTGGAAATATATTTTGCGCTGACATATGAACACTGGAAAAAAGAGAGATTGTGAATAGAGACGATTCATTGCGATACATTGCATCACAGTCATTTCGCTATCCCCATTCAGAAAGAGTGAGACAAAACTCCAGACTTTCTCCTTTACACGAGTCAGTAGACACGAAGCTTGGCAAGCTTATGAAGATGATTGTAGATGGACAGATAAATATCCATTCTCGATTATCAAAGATTGAAGAAAAGTGGGAAATATATGATCCTTCAAATACCATAGATGAGGTAAGAAAAAAATATAATTATTAGAGATTGTTTTTTAATAAATTTTCTAACAACAGGTTGTAATCGATTTTTGGTCGAAGGAGGATATATCTGATAGTCAGCTTAATCTTCCAACACGCCGCTCGCCACATAGCCAAGATGACAGAGATTATGACGGGTCGACTCCTATGTACGCAGAAACTGGTATAGACCCAATGGAGGTAGGACTTCAGTTGATACTGCAATAACAAAGACTGTCAACGGAAGTCGTGTGGTTGAAACAACCAAAGAAACACAGACTGAAACGCACAGAGAACCGGGAAATGGTTCACCAGATGAGGTATGGCTTTATTTGCCAAAATTTATTCTACTACGTTTATATCGCCTGCTCAAGTATAGTTGCCATATTTTTTCTTTTACAAAAAAAAAAATTATTTCTAGATAATCAGAAAAACCCTAGATGCATATAAAGACATAGGACAGGAAGGAAAAACTGATAAGGTAAGGAAACAATTTTTTTAAAAAATTGCCATCTACATTTACTAAACATTTCAGGACTAATCTGCTATCATCTATTGTTTTGCAGATGTACTAAGATGAGACAGCTGAGAGAAGCAAAAAACAGGAGATACCCCAAACACTAATGGAAAAGGTAAGGGGACACAACCATTGGAGCAACAAATTGTTAGATTTTCTTGTCTCTTTTGAGTTTAATAGTTTTTGTAATATGTTCCTGAACCTCAGTTAAACATTCCTAACACAAAATATTGGACTTCCAGGTACAAACCTCGCCTATGGCTACTTCCACGAAGGCGGCTGCAGGCACTGAACCCACGGAGATGGGACTGGATAAGGGATCCAACCATTGGAGGAGCAACAAAGTGTTATATTTCTCTTGTTTTTTTTCAAGTTAATAGTTTTTTGAAAGTTTTCCTGAACCTGTGTTAAACATTCCTAACAAAAATGTTGGAATTACTGGAACATACCCTGCCTGTGGCTACTCCCATAGAGGGGGTTACAGACATGGGACCAAAACAGATGGAGAAGGATGATGGGAGCCAACCATTGGAGGAGCAACAAACTACAGTAGGAAATCAGGATTCTTTTGCATTTTAATATTTTAGTAAGGTCTTCCTGAACCTCTGTTAAACGTTCCTAACACAAATGTTGAATTTCCAGGTGGTTTACTGAACATTTCATGTTTACTAAACATTTCAGGATTCTTTTGCATTTTAATATTTTAGTAAGGTCTTCATGAACCTCTGTTAAACGTTTCTAACACAAATGTTAGATTTCCAGGTGGTTTCTGTGCTTGTCGCCGCTCCCGCAAAGGCGATTACAGGCACGAGACCTAAACTGCACTTGATGGATGGTGCTTTTGTCGAGATATTGGGTCCAGATAGCAAGTGGTTTCCTGCTTCGTTGATAAAGAAACAGGCAGGTCAAGGTCCTACCCGCAGTTATTTTGTGAAGTACTTGACCGCTAAGAATAAGTTTGAGAATGTCAACGAGATGCGGATCTGTCCTCCACCGCCTATGCTGCCTCAGGCAGAACGTACCACCGACATTTTAACTCTCATGCAAGACGTTGATGTCTACCACAAAGACCACTGGTGCAGAGGGTATAGGCAAGCGCTTCGCGAGGGTCCAGAGGCATCTATCTGCCTTTATGATATCGAGAAAATCCTTATGTTCGACGTTAAAGACTTAAGGATTCATAGAAAATGGGTGAACGAGGCGTGGGTTCCTCCTGTGGATGTGGATATCCATGTACATCATTTATACTGTGATAAAACCTGTATTCTTTAAAACAATACAAAAAGTTTAACTAAATTTTTTGAATATTGCAAGAAAACGCAGAGACGTTTTCTTCGCCCACCAGAGTCGAAAACATTGCAAAGGTAAAATCCTTTAAAAAACTATTTTTTACCAAGTTTTTTTGTATATAATTTGTGAAAAACATCCACATGCCCCATTTTTCACACAAATCTGTTCTCTTAACAAAGGTGAAAGTGAAGATGGAGAAAGTGAAGAAGAAAGCAAAGAAAGAGAAAGCAAAGAAGGAGCAGAATGAAGAGCTAGAGAAAACATCTCTAAGAAAGAACAAACGGGTGAAACATAACTAAGATATATGATATGCAATTTCTGAAAGAAAAAAAATCGAATTCTGTTATTAGTGTTAGTTGCCATTTGTTAAAATGGTTAATGTTTTTTACTGTGTTTTTGGAAGTGTTCGTATGCATACATGATATGTATCTTTCGTTTTAAACAATGTCGCTTTTGTTTAGGAATCAATTCTACGTATTTCAGAGGTCTTTCCTAAAATATGAACAAATTAGATTAAATGGAATTACCACATACTGATCATCTATGCGTTCTGACCTTATCTTTCGTTCATAGCAAAATTGTTTTTCATGACAAAGTACAGGTATGTAATTTCATGATTTGTAAAAAAAACTTTTTGTTTAGGAATCAATTCTACCTATTTCGGAAGGGTTTCCTAAAGAAGGACAAATTAGATTAAAATTAATTGGAGATTTTTCGTTAATAGCATAATTCTTCTGATAACAAAGTATAGGTTGTCAAATTAGATAAAAAAAAAACTTGACAACCATAAGGTGTTGAAATGGAAGCGAAATCACTCCCAGAAACAACTTGTGACGTTCTCTATTATGTTAAGACTACTGTTCTTCTTATCTATCTTGGATTCAGTTATACTTATATCGGAATGCCTTCCGAAAATGGATAAAAATAATCCAAAAAGAGCAAAAACTGTAACAGGGGAATCGAACTGGTTACCTTATCTGATAGGCAGTATTGCTTTAATCGATAGGCCGAGTTAGTTAGTTTGCAAGTATAAGAAGGTAATTGTGTATATGCGTCGGGAAGGTTTGGGTCCGAAAAAAAAAAAACCCATAAGTGTTTTATGGAAATTGGGGTCTTGAACTCATGTCTTTCCACAAATCCCTAGATCCATGAATCCCTTCATCTGATATGACTGACTCGAGTAAAGAAGAAAACATTGAAGATAGTGACCCAACAACACCCGAGTCAAGTGAAGAAGAACACATGAATAAAGAATTTGTTGAAGATAGTGACCCAACAACACCCGAGTCGATTGATGTGGATGAGACAGATACACATGAGAGTAAACAAGCGAGAGAAGGTTCGCCTAGAGAGGTATGATTTCTGGTATTTTCTTACATGTATACTCATGAAGTATGCCTTCAGGATTTTTGCTTACACTTATATAAGGAACTTGTTTGCAGATAATCAGAACAGTCTTACAAGAAAAAAGTAAATTAGTAGCACAAGAGGATCAAGATGTTGAGATGGACAAAGATGAAAGAGCCCAAGATACCACAACGCAGGATATTCAACAAGAACAGATGGGCAAAGCAGCTGATACACCTAAGGGCAACCTAAGACAAGAGCTAACATTTGATCAAAATGAAACAAGTAGAGTAGTAGTACAAGTGGGTCAAGATCTCGAGGTAAGGAAATATTTCCAAAAACTTCCTTTTACATTAACAAGTAATACACTTACTGAAAAAATACTCCTGTTTTTCAGATGGACTAAGAGGAAAGAGCCCAAGGTACCACCACACAAGAGATTCAACAAGAACAGATGGGCAAGCTGATATAGCTGAGGGGAACACGAGACAAGAGATATTTTTTACTCCTGAAGTAATAAATTTCCAGATTTCCTTTGGGTAGAAGCTCTTAGTAGAGTTCCTTTGAACTTACCTTTGAGGAATGTGCCATCTACATCAATCATTCTCCTCATGTACTCGAATTCTCCCAATAGTTGTCCAAACGAATCAAAAGTATACTTGAACTTTCCAGCAGGTTCTCTCTCTAGAAAACACTTTGAGTCGTCTCTTGAACCTTACACAACTACTTAGATAGATTGACATAACATTCCTCAAGAGTTCCTCTCACCAATTTATAGAGAAACCGTACCAAATCCAAGACCCCTTGACCCAATGTCTGAAGAACCATCCTAAATGCCCTCGATTTACGCCGTAAAATCCATCTGACCCCTTCCGATTGCAGTACATGAAACCCTAGATCGTCGTCTTCATCGCCTCTGTTGAGAGAAAAAGCATTACGTTTTTTATTTTAAATTTTTTTAATATTAATAAATTTATAAACTCTATAAAATAATAAATTATTCTGATTTTGAATTAGACCGGTGCAAAATATAATATAAATCAATAATAAGATAATAATTTTTAAAACAATTTATATAAATTTACAGTCTCATTAGTCTCATAAATTAATATTTACTATAAAAATAATCTTATACAAATATATAAACTATGATAATCTATTAAAATAGGAATAGATTATTGTTTTATATTAATATTGAAATATTTTTTATAATTTTTTCTAATTTTATAATGAAATTTATAAAAATATTATAAATTTATAAAAACTTATTCGTAATTAATT